TGTGCTATGCAGATGATACAACTTTGCTTGCTGAAAGTGAAGAGGACTTAAAACATTTACTGATGAAGATCAAAGAGCACAGCCTTTGGTATGGATTATATCCCAATGTAAAGAAAGCAAAAATCCTAACCACTGGACGAATAAATAACATTCTAATCAATGAAAAGGTTGAAGTTGTCAAGGACTTCATTCTTCTTGGATCAGCAATCACCATTCAAGGAAGCAGCAGTCAAGAAATCAAACAATGTATTGCATTAGGCAAATCTGCATGAGACCTTTTTAAAGTGTTGAAGAGAAAAGATGTCAGCTTGAGAACTAAAGTGCGCCTGACTGACCCAAGCCATGGTATTTTCATGCATGCAAAAGCCGAACAGTGAATAAGGAAGACCCTAGAAGAATTGATGCTTTTGAGTTATGATGTTGGAGGAGAGTATTGAAGGTGTCATGGGCTGCCAAAAGAACCAATAGATCCGTTTTGGAAGAAGTGCAGCCAGAGTGCTCCTTGGAGGCCAGGATGGCCAGACTTTGTCTCTCATACTTCGGATATATTGTCAGAATGGACTGGCTAAGTGGCAGCATTGGGGGACTCAAACATAGCAACAGTTGTGAGGTTGTCCTAGGATCAGGCAGTGTTTCATTCTGCTGTGCATAAGGTTGCTATGGGTCGGTACCAACTCGGTGGCACCTAACAACATGACTTTGTAATTGTTTTTATTTAGAGATTATATATATGGTTTAAGGAGATACGGACAGATGCCACGTTGAAATGGGGTGGATTGTGACAGTGAAGCTTTTGTGTCAACTTCAGTGGGCCATGATTTTTTGTGGTTTGGCAGTTAAGATACAGTAAAGCCCCATGAGATATGCTGTGAGCAGCCAATCAATTGAAATAAATTTCCTTGGGAATGTGGCCTGCTTCTAATATATTGAACATTTGGGCAGAGCTTGCTTACTTATGCTGGGTCTGGATCCTGCATCTGGCTTGTCATCTGATCTCTAGTTCTTTGGACCCAAGCCAGTGGCCTTCTGTATTGTCTACTGCTCCTGCAAGTCATACGTAGCCTGTTCTGTCTGCCAACCTTGGCTTCATTCACCTTTGCAGCCAGAAGTCTGCTTCCAACCTGCTGATCTTGGGTTCAACAGCTTCTGCGGCTGCGAGTCAGAAGAAGCCTTCAGCCTGACATCTGACCCAATGACTTGGAACTTAACTGCCTCTGTATGAGCCATTCCCTTAATAGACCTCACTGTATGTTTCACTGGTTTTGCTTCTCTAGTGAAATCAGACTAAGATACCCTCATAGATATACATACACTGATTTTCTAAGTATTCATACTTTTTTGAGCAAATTGGGTGGTGAATTCCTTTTCTGTTGATCCATGATTTCATTTGTAAGATAAATGTGACCCAGAAATTTGAAAGAATAATCTCTCTTGACAGTCTGCTCACTTTTAAAAGCTTCTTGGTATACAGACTTATAAAATAAACCAGAAGACCAGTAGACCAGTGCCAAGTTTGTGAAGCCATGATTAGAGAGTCTACACAAGAATCCCAGATCTGGATAACATTGTAAACGAATCATCAAGTTATAGTAATTAGTAAGCAGAGATCAAACTCACTCATAAATATATCTACCTTCTTAACTCTTGGGATTCTGTGTTGGTTAAGTAAGCGGTAATCCCTGTCTCAATGTAGCAGTTACGAATCTGTTAACTTTATAATGTCTCAGACATGTCTCATGTTCACAGTGTCACTCATATGTTTCTTTCCTTTCAAGAGAGAGATTCAAAAACTCTACGAAAACAAGTCATTTCTTTTCCTGGGTTGTGGCTGGACTGTGGACGACACCACTTTCCAAGCCCTTTTCCTGGAGGCTGTCAAACATAAATCTGACTTAGAACATTTCATGTTGGTTCGGAGAGGAGATGTAGATGAGTTCAAGAAGCTTCGTGAAAACATGCTGGACAAAGGGATAAAGGTCATTTCCTATGGAAATGAATATGCTGATCTTCCTGAATATTTTAAACGACTTACATGTGAAATCTCTACAAGAGGCAGATCAGGTAAGATGTATTTTACGTTTGAGGAATCAAAGCGCTATAGCTCTTCAGCCATTTATGTATTTGTGATGGGTAAAAATCATTATCAAGAAGAGAAATACAACACCTAATCACATGATGATTGGAGGTCATAGTCAAGTTAGACTAAAATGATATTTGGATAGTAAGATGTGTAATGTATGTCAAAAAACTTGAAGCAACCTAAAATATTCCAATCATCGGGGAGTAGACATAGCAATAGTTATTTGATGGAATGCAATGAAGCCAATAAAAGGGATAATTTATATCTTTTTATTTTTATTGCCATAGAAAGACATCAGAGCCATACTGAGTGAAAAGAAAAAGGCATATCATAAAATAGTTGATCACATTCATGAAAAATTGTAGATCTAGATGTGTGTGTACTTATGTAGAGGGATATCTAGATTGATGTTCACTAAGTTAACTGTTTTCTTTATGCAATAGAATTTAAGATATTTTTTAATTTTTCATTTCTATGCTAGTATTTCCTGCAGTGAGATTATACACTATCTATATAAACAAGGAAAAAAACTTTTTAATGCTATTTAGAAACTATTTGGCAAGATCCATGTATATAGTTGCCATTTATGTTCACCAGACAGAATACACAAAAATCAAATTGACTACATCTGTGAGAAGAAGCGATGAAGAAGCTCAGTATCATTGCAAAACAAGACCATAACTTGCTCATATGCAAGTTCAAGCTAAAGCTGAAGAAAATTAAAACTACTGAATGGGAGCCAAAATCCAACCTAGAGTTTATCCTACCTGAATTTGACCATCTCAAGAATGACACATTGAACACTAATGACCAAAAGACTAGAATCATGGGATGACATCAAGGATATCATACAGAAAGAAAGTAAAAGGTTATTAAAAACAGGTGAGAAAAGACCAAAACGGATGTGAGAAGACTTTGAAGCTTGCTTTTGAACATTGAGTGGCTAAAGCAAATGGAAGAAATCAATTAAAAGAGCTAAACAGAGAATTTCAAAGGACAGCTTGAGAAGACAAAGTATTATGAAAGACCAAGAGTCAAAAACCAAAAGGCACAAATACACTTTGTGTTTCTGAAGTTGAAAGAACTGAAGAAAAAAAATTCAGTTGCAATATTGGATGTTTCTATGGGTAACAGGATCGGGCAGTGTTTCGTTCTGTTGTGAATAGGGTCGCTGAGTCGGTACCGACTCCATGGCACCTAACAACATGGGCAACAGGATTCCTGGTGTGGTGCTACAGGATCAGCACTAGACTGCAAACCACAAGGTTTGCAAACATCGACAACCCTATTCAAGGTTGCTGTGAGTTGGAACTGACTCGACTGCACTTAACAATGGGCAACATACTGAATGATGCAAGAAGCATCAGAAGAAGATGGAAGGAAGAGTCTCTGTACCAAAAAGAATTGGTCAACATTCAACCATTTCAAGAGGTGGTATGATATCAACAGTCAATGGTATTTAAGGAAGAAGTCCAAGCTACACTTAAAGAATTGTTGTTACGTGCCATCGAGTCAGTTCCAACTCATTGAGACCCTGTGTAGGGTTTCCGAGGGATCCCTAGTGGGTTTGAACTGCCAACGTTGAAGTTCAAATTGACCGTGTGGTCCAAAGGCATTAGCAAAAAACAAGGCTTCAGGAATTCACTGAGTACCAATTGAAATGCTTCGACAAACTGATACAACACTGGAACTACTCTTCAGTCTTTGCCATGAAATATGGAAGACACCACCCATCTGGCCAATCACATGTGTTGTTGTTGTTAAAGTGTACGGCAATTAACATAGCGACCCATAGCGACCCTGTACAGGGTTTCCAAGGGTGTAAATCTTTACGGGAGTAGAAAGCCTCATCTTTCTCCCGCGGAGCGGCTGGTACTTTCGAACTGCTGACCTTAAGGTTCGCAGCCCGATTCGTAACCACTACGCTACCAGAACTCCTGTAAGAGATCTATATTTGTGCTTGTTCCCAAAAATAAGGTCGTTATAATAGAGTATAAAATTTATCAAGCAATATTATTTTCACATGCAGGTAAATTTTTTAAGATAATTCAAAAAATTGGTTGCAGCAGCACATCAACAGGGAACTGCTAGAAATTCAAAGAATTCAGAAGTGTCGTCAACATGCAGTTCATTCCCATATGACAAGCAGTTTTTTGTTGTATTTTCAATTACTGTGTGTTTTCATAGTTGTAAACCAAGTACAATTTTTTGTTGTTTTATTCATTAGCACATTGTTTTCCAACATGGCTACAGACTTCATAACCATTATTTTTAATGACTTGTATTCCAGCGCAGATGTTAAAATTTATTTATTTCCTAGTGCTGCCTGATGATGGTGTCTTCTATTTACATCTAATTGGCCGTATCTTTTATTATTATTCTGGTTTTTCATACTTTGCCCTATACCATTATCTAGTCCTAGTGTGGTACTGTAGGATAAGCACTGGACTGCTAACTGAACAACTGGCAGTTCAAACCCACTAGTTGCTCCTTGGAAACGCTGTACCGGCTATGAATCAGAATTGGCTCCATGAGTTGGGTTTGGTTTCTGTACTGTGCTCTATAATCTTCGGACTCCTGGTGTGGTGCTGTAGGATCAGCACTGGACTGGGAACTGACTCGACAGCACTCAACAACTATAATTTTCAGTAGCACAGCTAAATGCCACATACGGCTATTAAGCACTTCAAGGGTGGCTAGTGTAACTGAGGAACAGAATTTTTATGTAAATTCGGCCTTTGAGGAAAGTGGTTTGGAGACAGCAGACACTGTAAAATATTGATAAGCAGTTTTTGTGCCCTAAGAAATCTTACTGCTTCCCTGTTAATACAACTGTCCGACCACTAATCCAATTTACTCTCCCCACCCCCTTACTGTCCTTTCAGAATGGTTTCATTTCTAAATGTCACCCTTTCTAGTGTTCCTCCCTTTCATTGGTTTTTTTTGCTGTTAATATTTTTAGCTTATCAGTTTAATGTCTGATAACCAATGTACACTTTTAGCAGGAATGGTGAGAGAAGGCCAGTTAAATGGTTCATCTGCAGGACACAGTGAAATAAGAGGTATATTTTCTTATTCTATTATTTATCCGCAGAAATTATCTTCTTAGGGCTCAGTTTTAATTATGGAAAATACTGACCTCTATATTTTCCTATCAAATCTTATTACAAAATTTCTAATATCTTTTACTTGTAAAGTATTAAAATGTAAATGTCTGTAACTTTAGCTCTATAAACCTACAAAATTTCGTTTTCTACATTTTCTCTCCCTCCACAGGTAGTAGTACATGAGAAGGCTCTAGAAACCACCATTAGACCAAGCTATGAGGCCCTACCATGGACAGTGTTTAACAAGGAAACTTTTAAGATAAACCCACCAAGGAAGTATCAACCCCAGTGGTTGAAGGCTGTGGATAGAACTCGAGGTGGGGCAAATGTTCCAACTGAACCCTTCATGCTGGCTGGTTCTGGGTATTGAGCTGCCTTGCCTGTTCCAGTTCCAGAATGCCTGAGAAAACAGGGCCAACATGCAGGCCCTCCCCTGCCGGACGTGCTTGAGTCCACACAGCTGACCAGTGGGGTCCTCCACTGACTGGGGCTGCAGCTCTGCATGAAGGACCTGGGGATCTAGATGCCATGGAGTCACAGTGGCTTTGGTTGCAGTTTTGTACTCCGTACTTGGTTTTTCAATTAAGCTTAATGGCTTTTTTTAAAACATGACTTGAAGCTCTAGTTTTCTAGATCTTTTACAATGTACAGTATTTTACATAATTGAGCTCTATTAAAAGCCTGTTCATTTACATCCCAGGGTCCTGGCTCTTCTTTTAAAATCTTGGGGTGGGATCATCTCATTTTCAAGACTACTGCTACTTTTATGTGACTTAGAAGCACTGCCAATTTTTGCTTTGTTTCTCTTAACCCCTTACAAGACATTGGTGATATGGGACTATTTTTGAGTCTTATGTAAAATAACTCCAAGACCTAAAAGGCAATTAATTTATTTATGAAATTTATTTTCTTATATAAATTATGTATTTCTCTGGGCAGACAGCCTTCACCTTATTGCACTAATAGCACATCTGTAATACCAAGCTACAAGACAAGTCCTAACAAGTGGTATGTAGTCTTCAACTTAGCACTTGTCTACCAGGCACTGGAGAGGAGTGAGGAAAAGCCAGGATCTGCTCAGGAAGTGAAGAGTGGGGCAACAGATACCCCTCTGATAGTTTTCTTCAGAAAGGGTAACATGCAAAGCTTACATCTGGATTGTAGAAGTGGAGAAGAGTGAGGCTGAGAAGCCCAATGCAACACTGCAGTTCGGCTCCCTTTATTTCTGAGGGAAGCAGGGACTCAGCTTTCGTTATTAACACATCACCCTGGCCTACCTGATGCTTTGGGGAAACATGGGGTGGGACTCATCAGAATTAGCAGCAATTAAGAACAGGCCACACACTGCCACAGTGAGGTGGGTGTCATTCTGGCCCCAGGGACCTGAAAGCTCCGTAACCTCGGGAAATGCCACTCACAGCCCAGAGCTGGTTCACGGAGTCTCTTGTATAAAATTAACATTGCAGAGCTCTGGGATTTCCAACCATTGGTCAAAGCTATCAAGAGACTGAGTCTGGAGGCAGAGTAAAGGGAATGCCTGAGTAGGAGGGTAGAGTACTGTTGGGGTGGGTATCAGTGGGCAGTGATTGTAACATGATTAGGCCCTCCCTCCTTGCAGACAGAGGCTGGACAGGGAATGGGGTGAGGAGGAGAGCTACAAGTCCCTGGAGCTCTCGCTCTGTCTTTTTACTACACTGAAGACAAATTGCTCGCATACTCCAAAGCACATTCTTGATACAGGAATAAGGGTTTGTGGGGGAAAGCGGCAACTTGGTATTGGACAGGAGCCATGTTAAGCCTTCATGAGGGCAGCCACCACAGCCTTGGCGTTGAGACTGCGTAAGTCACAGTAGGTCTGGCCAGTACCCACAAAGACGATGGGTTTGCTTGTGATGTACGTCATAGAAATAGCAGCTCCTACCTGAAGTGTAGAAAGGGGATATTCAATCAACTCAACTTCTTTTCACCCACTCCACCCACTCCCTCAGTGTGAGGAAGCTTTGGAACTTAGCACAGCACGGCTCCCTTGTGAAGGACTAACATTGTCATGTCCCCCACCCCAACTAAACACACTGTCTTGAATCCCTTGTCCATGTTTACCTTGTCATCAATGGTATCAAATTTGGTAAGGACAATGCCATCAATGAGACGAGGTGTTTGAGCCATAGAATGGTCAGCCAAGGCTCTGTTGAACTTGACCTGGAAAGGAGAAGTGTGATATAAAAACCACCTAACTGGACACAGCTGAAGTTGGAAAGGGACCTTGGGCCCTAGCCCTCACCAGCTGATCCACAGCCTCATTGCCTACTAAGGCCTCCCCCACAAACAGCACCAAGTCAGGTGTATTGACAGTAATGAGTTTGGCCAGGGCAGTCATCAGGGGGGCATTGTCTTGCATGCGGCCAGCTGTGTCCACCAGCACCACATCAAAGCCTTGGTTTCGAGCTAGAGAGAAGAAAAAGTAGTCAACACTGGGACTATTGGCCATGCTCTCGAGTCTAGCCTCCTAGCCTAGCGAGATTAAAAGCCTCTCTGTTTACGTTCTTGGGTTCTGGACTTAGTTACAAAGTAATGTGAGAGAAAAAGGAGGATAGCAATATGGTAAACGAAGTCACCAAATTCAGGTCTCTTTGGTTGGACTATATGAACTTAACCTGAAACTACACATATTACCCCAAAGCAGAATAAGGCAAAACGTTCTCTTGTTTAACTGTGAGACATAAGTCATATATGGTAATCCTGACCCTCGGCAAATTCCAAGGCAACCCAAGGTGGAAAACAGCCCCAGAGTAACCCCCATGCAACCTTTCTCCCATGCACTGTACCAAAGGCAATAGCTTCCATGGCAATGCCAGCAGCATCCTTGCCATAGCCCTTCTCAAACAAGTGCACCATAGTACGGCCACCGTGATTCTCGGGGGGGTGAAGGGCACTCAGACGCCGGGTGTGTGTACGAAGCTGTTCCACAGCCCCAGCACGAAATGTGTCACAAGCAGCAACGAGGACACTGAAGCCATTCTCTAACAACCAGAAGGAAATCTGCAAGAGGTAGAAAAACTGTCACATAGAGCCAAGGATACCAACAGAAAACATGGAGAGTCAGAAATAGTATCAGAGGAAGGTGAGGGACACGTACTTACCTTGGCAAGGTTAGTAGATTTCCCCACTCCATTAACACCACAGAAGGTGACAACGTACGGGCGGTGGCGACGTTGGGCATCCATGATGTCTCGGAGCATGTCCACACGGCGCTGTGGCTGCAGAATCTGCACCAGGGACTCCTGTAAAGCTTGCTTTACTGTAGAAGTCACCG